CAGGGCAGCGCTAACTGCGGCTCCTGCAGCAATACGTTGTGCCATATGGCTCCAAGTGGATATTAAAATTGAGAATATCAATTACCAATCCACTAATGCTGAGAGCCAAAATCCACGGACAGTAAGAATTTAATCCAATTCAGCGCCTGGAACATGAGCCGGGCCCGACGTGCGGGAGGCGAATCCAGCGGCGGCTCCACGGAGAGCAAACAACTCCCAGTTTTTATGGCAGGAACCATAAAAGCAGCTCGAGGTAACCCTGGCTCAACATCCCTCCCCACGGCTCCAGGGACCTCCCAGGGACCCACAACAGCAACACCAGTTTCAGAGGAATTGGCACCGTGATTTCTCAATCCCTGCGAAACCAAACTCAGTAACTATTTAAGAAGAAACAGTTTGGTTGTTTTCCACATGACCAAACCTAAGGGTCCAGAGCACCAGGAAGTTGTTACACAGCTGCAGCCAACATCTTGCTTAATGTCAGGAAAAGGCACCCTACAAACACAAAAGATATATATATTTCTACTGCAATTAAATTAATTGCACTAGTTGAAGGATTTTCTTATTCTAAGTAAACTAGTTTAATAGTTCTAGTTTTAAAATTCTTCATAGCTGTGGAGTGTTTCTTCTTGGATGGTATTAAGGGTTTCTTCTTGGATGATATTAAGGGTTTCTCCTTGGATGATATTAAGGGTTTCTTCTTGCATGATATTAAGAATAAGGCTCCACAAAATTCTACACACTCCCTAATTGCACAGAACTTCATTGATTACTTACACAAAGAAGAATTCTCATTAAGTCCAAATACAACATCTCTGGATTTCCAAGAGGCATGGAGGTGATTTAAAAACTGTTCTGCTAAGGTTTCCTGTGGAATTTTAATTTACCATGTTGTCAAAGATTTCATGGTAGGACGCTTGCTACGTACTGACTGAGCAGCTGCAAGGACTCAACAAGGATAAATGTAATTTATCTTACCCAAAACAGAATCCCACTTTCACTCTGCTCCTTTCTGATCCTGTACTGAAAGGCCAAAGGAGCAGTAACAAAAAAAACTGCCCAAAAATGTCGAGTTCAACAGCACATTAACATCAAATGGATGTTTATGTGCACAGTATTCTCATTTAAAAAACTGTTCCTGAAAAACTAGAGGAGTAAAATGCACTCAGCTAATTTCAGCTTTTTTCTTTTTTTAATTTAAAAAAGCACCACCACCACAAGCCTGAACTGAAAATCAGCTCTTCTGCTTCCCAGCTTCCTTCTGCACGAACTACAGCTGGGCTACTACAATAAACTAACAAACAACTGATTATACATTAAGTCATAGATAAACAGTACTAAAAAGGTTGATACTACCAAAGGTTTGGAGGTCATTTGAATACGGGAGACATAACAAGCGTTTCTTATTTTTCTTGCTGGGAAGTGTATTGTTTTAAGCCTGAGTCCAGTATATCAAACACTAACCAAGCTATTTTATTTAGGCTACCAAAGCTAAGGAGTTTGGCACTAGAGTGAAATACCACAGAAGTTGCAAATCGAAAGTCCGTTTTTCTTAAAAGATACCGAAAAACACGCACAAAAGGCTTTAGAAATTTGCAATGTCATTTTAAAACACAGCACTTCACAGGCACAGAACCGTTTTAATACCCCCTAAACCTTTCTTATTCTTGCCCGTTAAAAGGACAGTTACCTAGAGGATGGCAATAATTCTGGGTCAAAAGCAGCCTTAAGAGCCTCCAGCTCAGCATTCTGGAGCAGGTGGGAGACTCTCCTTTGTTGCAGAAGGATACCTGTGTGCTCATCTGATGGTCACCTGGCTCACAGAGACCCAGCCCCAGCACACAGCCCGGCAGGGCCTTTGGATGCCTGTGCTCCAGCCTGAAAAACTGTTTTTCAGCAACAGGCTTGACAAAAGCCAGGAGCATTTTGATGGCATTAAGCGGGCACCGCGAGGCAGAAACGAAAATCGTGTCACCCCTTTATCCAGCGAGAGCCTCCGTGAACATTTCAATAAAACTATTTACTCCTCCCACCTAGTTCCTATCTGGAGAAGCTCACAAAAAATTAAGGGGAAAAAAAACCCCCAGATTTCTCGCGGCGATCTTCCAAAACGCCCCTCCTGCCCCCCTCCCCAGCCCAGAAGAGAAGAAGGCAAAGAGAACGAGAAAGTAAAAATCTAAAACACAATTACGAAATAAGATCTAGTTTGGCAAAGCTGTGGTGAGGAGGAGTTGAAAAATGAGAGCTGCCTTGCTGCAAACGCCATCTTGTTGCAGCTACTGGGCCCAGGCACAGAGAGATCCATTCATTCACAGCGAAAAAGAAAATCAAACACACACCCTCGGCTAATCTGCAGCCACCAAAACAACTACACTATTATCGCCCCTTCCCCTTCCCCTCTCCTGAAGCACGCCAGGGAAGGAGAGAAACTCCGAGCCATTACATTTAGAACGAATTTAGGTATTAAGAGATCGTCTTGGTTTCCTCGCACGCATTTCACAGGCACATCGACAGCGTTTTGCCTTGACTCACATCCTGGTGTCCAGATCAGCTCAAAATACGGGATAAAACTCTCACGACTGGGTGTGGATATTCCACAGCAGCAAAATGTGCGATTTTTCAGCCTTAAATCACCTCCCCAAGTTGAGGCAACTATTCTCAAAAGCTGTTTCAATAATCACTTAAGGCTTACATTTACAGTCCTTTCCTCCTATTTCCTCCTGTGGAGACAATACATAATAACGTGGCAGTCGGCATCCTAGAAAGGATGCCTGCCTTAAAACAACGAGTCCCAACCATGACTTTGTTAGAGAATAATGAAATATCGCATTCGTTAAAATTTCAGTTCGTCTCCAGCAATGATAAATCGACATCTTACAACCTCTACATCATCCTGATTTTCTCCCGGACAAGATTTTTTTGTTCATAAAACGCCTTGTCTCTCTCGCATTTACATGCAAGGCTTTACACATCTTCATTCCCTACAAAGCTGTAGGATCAAAAAACCCACACGTTCCATGCCCCTCGCCCGGATAAAAAACATTAACGCCGAAAATCCTTACAATAAAAAGCAGGGAACCGAAACGATATTTTAAACGGCATTTTCCGAGGAGGAAACTCCATCTTCCTATTGTAGCAAACACCCTCCATGATCTTCGTTACCGCTGCTACGGGCACACAAAAAATATGCAGCGCCGTAATACACGGAGGGGGGGGGGGGGAAACAACAAATATGCGGTCTAAATCCATCCTCGGTTGTGATTTTAGCGAGAACAAACCCTTCCCCACCCCTCCCTCGCCCAGCACACCCAGCAGGAGCCCCATCTGCGAGCCCTGGGCTGGCTGGGGGTGCCGGGAGCAGCCTTACCCTGTTTGTCTCACCCCCGGCTCCTCTTAATCAGTTTTCCACCATTACAGCAGCCACACCATTGCTTCTTTTTTTTTTTTTTT